CTTCCTTCCTTCCTTCCTTCCTTCCCTTCCCTTCCCTTCCCTTCCCTCCTTATCCAACTCCCAACTACCTTTGAGGTCGTTGGGCATGAAGCTACAGTAGACTTCATCTTGTGGATGGGTTGGCTTTCTAAGGGCCTGAGGAGGAAGAAGAGTTAAGTCATTCTGAATATTTATACTGTTTTAGACACTGTCAAGCACTCTGTGCTGTCTCAGGTAGTTCCCTCCAACAGTCCTACAAGGGACTGATATTATCCCAAGCAGTTAAATCGCTCCTCTAAGACGATAAAGCTACAGTGGGAGTTTGGATCTGTCTGCCTCTGATACCCAGCCCATTTTAGTGCCTTCATGCATTCAGTAACTGACAAGAAACCAGGGAATCCTAGGCTGAAATGGTCCTGACGTTCATATGCAGTGTGTGGAAATACCAGTGGGGCGGTGAGATTCTGGCAGAGTATGTTCAGTACTGCTGGACTGGGTATTGCAAACCGTGGCTTCTGACCACAACTCTGCCACTATCCCCCTGTGATCTTGGGTGAGCCGCTGAGCTTCTCTGGCCCTCTCTTTGCTTCTCTGTATAATGAGAGGAATAAAGCGGGTTGTTTCTTTTATTCCTTTATGTTACATGCAGTATGCGGTACCTGAAAGTCTAATGAAGAGGTAGATACGGGAATGGAAAATTGAAGTACAACACTGTGTAATAATGCTGTACCCCAGATGTGCACAGCTTACTTGGGGAGCCCCAAGGAAGTGGGACATCCAGCGCCTCAGGGCCCTCGTCCTAGCTGAGTGTATTCCACTCAAGTGGAATTTGGGAAGTTTGAAGGAAGTGGGAAGATACGGGAACAGTCTCGGGAGATGATTGCTGCAAGCAATTTCCCTAAATAATGATGAAGGGGGAACAGCGGGGAAAACAGGCTGGGCAAGAGCTAGATCAGTAAAGGACTTCCGTGCCTCATGAGAGAGCGTGGACTCTTTTTTTCTGAAGGCTATTGGAAAGTAGTGAAGGGTTTTAAACAAGATCACATTTGCATTTTATAAAGATCTCCTTGGCAGCATGACAGATGGAGTCCAGGGCAAAGAAGTGGTGGTGGGAAGACTCTTTAGGAGGTGGTTGCATAAAACAACGCAGGCAAGGGATGATGATAGCCTGAACTTAGGTAGTGGCAGTGAGAATGAAGAGCGGAGGATACATTTGAGAGCTCTAGAAGAGAGAGAATGGCTAGGACTTACCGACTCTGTCAGTCAAGATGGATACAGACAACCTCACAATCTCTGTGGCCTCAGATAACAAAGATGTGTTCCTTGCCCAGGCTCCATGTCCCATGCAGGTCAGAGAGACACTGTGGTGCTCATTGTGGTCACTCAGGAATCCAGCATGAGGAGCTTTTCTGATATGGCTGGGCCATACGCCAGGGGGAAAGCTCTGGAGGGACTCATGTAGATGGTTTAAATGCTGCCGCCCAGAAGTGACTTGCATCATTCACAACTCATGGACTAGAACTTGTCCCTCGGCCCCACCCAATCTCTGGGGGCCAGAAAGTTCAGTCAGGGATGAGAAGCACTGGTACAGCCATGGCGCCTGTCTGGAAATGAAGCATGAAGGAGGACCCCCAGGTTTCTGATTTAGGGAGTTAGGCAGAGGTATTCACTGAGAAAGAGAAGATGCAGTTGGGGGAAGGGGAAGCGAACTGACCAAATCATTATCAATCTCTTCGAGCTCTGAAGTGTGACCCTATAACTGGTCCTTCCCTGTAATGAAAAAGAAGGATCAGAAATAAACTCCAGCTGTTGGCAAGAGTTTACTTTTTAAATTTTTTTTTAAGATTTTATTTATTTATTTGACAGAGAGACACAATGAGAGAGGGGGAACACAAGCAGGGGGAGTGGGAGAGGGAGAAGCAGGCTTCCCGCTGAGTGGGGAGCCTGACGCGGGGCTCGATCCCAGGACCCTGGGATCATGACCTGAGCCGGAGGCAGACGCTTAACAACCGAGCCACCTCGGCACCCCTACTTTATTCTTTACCAAGGTGTGTTCAGGGGCACCTGGGTGGCTCAGATGGTTAGGCGTCTCTTCACTTTGGGTCGTGATTCCGGGGTCCTGGGATTGAGCCCCACATCGGGCTCCTGGCTCAGCGGGGAGCCTGCTTCCCCCTCTCCCTCTGCCTCTCCTCCTGCTCATGCTCTCTCTCTCTCTGTCTCAAATGAGTAAGTAAAATCTTAAAAAAAAAAAAAAAAGTAGCATTCAGAGATCTCAACAAGGTGTCTTTCTTGAATTTTCATACGGACTATTGTGTCAGCATACAGCATTAAAAAAAAAGTTACTAAGTAGGATGTTAATGAAGCCTTCCTCACGCAAGAATATCAGGCTGCTGAATTCAAAATGCCAGAGATGTAAATGCCCTCTGCCTTCATTAGCGCCATCCCCCAGCAGGGCACATTTCAGGCTATCACGGGGTGGGAGTGGGGAGGAGGTGTAATTAGGCTGATTGGAGCCTATTGTGCTGCTCGGGAGCACAGACTCCTAGCAGCCCTTGGGAACAGTAGTGCCTCAAAATCACTGGGGACCGGTGTCCTCTTTACCTCAAAAGAACAGAGCAGAAACAACGAATCCATACTGTGTCTCCCCTCCTTTGTTTTCCACCTCCCCTCCCCTGTTTAATTGTGGTACCTGAAAAACTGACTTTTATTGTGCATTTGTTTCTCAACAGTTGCGAGAAACAATCAAAGCTGGCAAAGGTGTGACTTCAGCTATTGACCTGTGTCGTTACCATGGAAACAAGGCGCTGGAGGCCCTGGAGAGCTTTCCTCCCTCGGAGGCCAGATCTGCTTTAGAAAACATTGTGTTTGCTGTGACCAGATTTTCGTGACACCAAATTAAAAAGACACTATTGTTCGTTAACTGGAAAAAAACAAAAACAAAAACTGGGGAATGAGGTGATCGGGAGGGCTTTCATGATGGACTATCTCAATGTGTTAATGACTTTAAAAACATAATCCATTCTTTCCTTCCTTTTATCACGTTGCTAAATGAATCCTGCCTTCTTTTTGGAACTGCTGCAAACAAAATTAGAAGAAAAAAAGGTCAAGCAGTTTTCACTTGTCACGCCAGCAGCACACTTGAGGCTGCAGTAGCAGAAATAATTAATGAGATTCACTCCTGTGACCTCAGCAAATGGACAGGAAATAAGTCCTTATTGATTGGACCGAGCCAGGGATGGCGCCAGGGCGGTGGCCTGTGGTTTTCCTTCTAGAGAGGGCAGAGCAAGCTGGAAGCGGCAGGTGTCAAGAGAAACATGACCGGTGCCAGCCAGCGAGGACTGTCAAATCAAAAACTAGTGACCAGTTGTCGTAACGGATGGTAGTTTTGATGATGAAGGGGGAAAAAATGTGCTTTGTCTCCTTGCAATTATGTCTCTGTATCTATAGGTACAGTATGAATATACTTCGTGCTTCATCATTTTTGTAAGATCTTTTTTTTTTTTAGGAAAAACTGCCGAAAAAATAATGCTAAATATTTGAAGTAGGAGATTAAAATGTTATCAGATGTTAACTTGGTTGTGGTAGGAATGGCTTGTTTTTCTTTCTAGAAGACCAAATATTTTTTCAAACACATTTCAAAGAACCAAACTTTTTTTAAGCCAAACAGGATGCTTTTTTTCAAGGAGAATGTATTCATTTGTCATATTTTGGTGTAGAGAATACCTTTAACTTTTACGAGTGTCACATACATAACTGTTCTGGGGACTAACCTGGTGATTTTTTTTTTAAATTCAGAATGTCAAATTTTGGTCTTGAACCACAGACATCCGATTACAGAAAGAATACAAGCAGTCTCCCAGGCCTGCAATCAGGCACTGTCTCTGTGTGGCTCATACGAGATGATTTTTGTGGTTTGCATGCATGCAATATGAGAACACCGCTGACAAGAAGGCTGAGTTTACATAAATGATCTAGATTGAGACTCAGCTACCTTTCTTCCTTCTGTGGTGTAATTACAGCCCTATCTGGAGACAGTGAACACAGCAAACAGATTTTATTACCTCGTTCACTCAAACACTAAGTGAAGTTATTTTAGTTAAATTCCTTCCCCCAAAAGTTACGAAACCATTTTATCGGGACCCAGCATGTGGCATGTGATGAAGAGCAAATGTGAGCTGCAGAGGTTAAGGTATTGTATTCTGAAATATTTTTTAATATACTTAAAATATTATAATTGTACGGTTTATGTTACTATAATTTGAAGGCCTGTAGATTTAGCTTAAGAGAACAGTTTTCTGTTTGAAATGGTTTCTTCTCAAAGAAATTGGCTTAATTAGTAACTCTGGTTAGATGCTTTAGATCGGACTAGGTTTTAATCATTAACTTCCACAAAGGAGGGGTTGTGCTTTTTGTTCTCTAGATGTGCAGGAACTTACCCCGAGCTGTAGGTTTTCGGAAGCAGATGGTCAGGTGCTACCAGGCAGGATCCCCGGGCTCTTCAAATTCTGCTTTAGCAGCTGGTTTGCTCTGTGACCTTGAGCAAGTCACTTCCCTCTGAGCCTCGAATTCCTCGTCTGTTAAATAAATGAGAGAATGTATGAAGTCCCTTCCAGCTTTGTTTTATTTTCTAAAAGACTGTCATTTCTGACCCTGGATAACAAAGATGCTCTGTGAGGTTCAGGGAGGAGGAAAGGTGAGACCCGGAGAGAGGCTACGAAGGAGCGCATAAACTTAATGGCAGATGTCCTCCTACACTGCCTCGTAGCTCAGGGCCTACAAGATTCCAAGCTCTCTTTTGTATGGCATGTAATCCTGGACTCTTCTGTTTCGGCCCCTGCCTTTCTGCTTTCTCCGGGACCTTTCCTCCCCTGGCTCAGGTGTCCTGCCCTCAGTGTTGAACGAGCTCTGCCTCTGTCTTCCCAGCCTCCCGGCAGGCTTTACTTAAACCTAACACTGTTGGCCAATTCACTCCCCAGTTTTAAATGGTGAGAGTCTTTCTTCACGTCCCTTCTTTAGGGGTATTTGTTTGTTAACTCTTACGTCCTTATAATTTCAGATAATTTAGGGAGAAATTTGGGGCACCACGACATGCCTAATCACACCTCTTGGCGTACCACCTGGGTGTGGACAGGGACCTCTCTGTTGACTAGGTAAGACTCTGGCCTCAGAATGTCGCCTCCATCCCCTCTCCGCCGCCCCCCCTCCCCAGTTCCTTGCTAGAATTCCTTCGTTAGCCATCGTGCTGCTCCCTTCCACCTGGTGCCCCCAACTTGCAGCTTGGCCCCTCCAAACCTCATTCACTTCAGGCTCCCAAAACCAGCCACGCCCCCCTCCCTGTCAGTCTTGTCTTGGTCAGCTGTGTGAAGGCTGTGATAGTGAGGGCCCTGAGTGCACACTGAGTGCATGCTCTCTTGTTCCAGCCCCGCAGCCACGCTCTGGGGGTAAGCATCCTTCCCTTTACCGATGCGGAAGCAGGCCTACGGGACCTCCCTGACCGCCTGGCCTGCCCTCCTTCCTCACCTCCCCACCAGCGTCTTTCCAGGTAGCACCTTGTTCTCTCCTCCTCTGCTTCTCTTTCCTCCTTTTGAAGAGCTCAAAGATCTCGAGCCCATAGCCTCCCTATCTCCATCCTGCCCCCATTCCTGAGTCTTCAGTGTCTCCTCTGCGGACTATATGTGTTCAATCCTCCCGATCCCCAAAATGAACTTCCTCCCTTCACGCTGTATATTCTTCTACCTCCACTTTTTTTCTTCTCAGCTTCACCAGCACATCTTCTTACAGTCTGCTGCCTCTTTAACCCTTGCAACCGGTCACTCACTACCAGTCCCCACCACCTAGACCAGCGCCGGTGCTTTAGACACTCCAAGAATCCTTGTGGAACAGATCTATCCTGTCTCTCGCCGCACACCACTGAGATGGCCTTCTGACAGATGATGGCCTTTCTGTGAAGTTGGCAAGCTCTGTCCCTGCATGCAGACCTCCCCACAGCATTCCAGGTCGCTAACATAGCCGCCCCTCTCCCCTGGCATCCATGACCCACCTCTGTGCAGGTCCTTCCCCACTTCTCTGACCGTCCTCCTTCATTCCTGACACATCTCTTTAGTCGCACCCTTGGAGACATTCTTTTCAAAACATTTACATTCTATTTCCCCAGAAACTAAAAAGCAGTTTTCTGCCCCACTAAGTTTTCTCCTTTTAAATTCCCCAACTTAGAACACCTGTTTCCTGGCATAAAGAGACAGTGTCAATGAGATATGGATTAGATAGTGAGCTGATTGCCATTCACAATTCCTCTGAAAGAAGATCCAGTTTATGACTATCATTAGACTTTGTTTTAAGTTTTACTTGGTAACACTAAATCCTCTTCATGTTTTCTTGCTCACATAATGTGGTTATGTAGGCACACCGAAAAATAAATTATCAGTGTCATTGTTTGCCTGGTCCAGGTCTCATTCTCTAATGTTTGAGACTCTGTCTTACCCATGACAGTATTATTGCTATGGCCCAGGACGTGGGTGACACCAAGTTGGGATAAAAGACATATACATTAGTACAAATTGCTCCAAAAAGAGACCTTTTTTTAGGCCCAGTATCTACAACACATTGAACTCCAATGACCGGGAGGTAGTTGGAATAATCCATGATGATCATTTCTCAAAGCCTGAGAAGGTGCTGTAACATGGCCCTCTTTGGGCAAGCATGTTTGGGGGAATTATGTGTAATCAACAAAATTACAGCTAAAGGATACTTCTTTTTTTTTTTTTTTTAAGACTCTAGCTAATCAGCAAGTTCATCGCTGATAAAGAGAACCTTGCTCTCAAGCTCCTTCCTAGAGTTCTTAATTTCAGGAAGATCCTTTCCTGCCACTTCATTTATCTTCCCACTTTGAAATCCTATTGTTAAGATCACCTTTCCAACCAATAGAAACTCCAGAATTTATCTTTATAATCTGTAATGACTGCCTCTCATGGTAGAGAAGACATGCCACACCTTTGTTCAAGCACAAAAGGGCAGAAATGAATTGGACTGGTTCTTTAATTCATTTAACTGTGAGGACATAATTGTCATGCCATTATTCTTAGTAGTCTCCATTATTATTAATCGTGTTTTAGTAATAATAAAGCTATTGGCACTTTATTTTAAAAGCATAAAGCAATCTAACAAAAGAATCATTTGCCTCTTTCTCTTCCCTACCTGATCTCAAATGAACTGTTTTATTCTTTCGGAATGGGTCCTGCCTTTCCATTAAGGAGACAACATGCTTCTAGTGCCACCTGGGGAGAGTCCAGAGGCGCCAGAACTGATGGTGGGATCCACCTCTTTCTCTAGCTCACCCCACCTGCCCTTGGGGCTCTGACGTGCTAAGTTTTCCACCTCCGCTGGTGGAGGAGTGTTCATATTTCTTTCTTTTCTGTAGAAAGAGAAAGTTTCTTAGGCTTTTATTTTTCGTTCTTTTTAGAGATGCTGACCGTCTTCCTAGAAAAGCTACAGCAGCTTTCTCTCAACTTGATCTGCTCATTTCCAGGACTGACAGTGTACCCATCACTGTGCATCCTATGAGCAAACAAGTGGGCTCACCCCTGCCTTGACTGTTGGGGTAGCTTAAATTTCACTTTTTGAACATATTAAAAAAAAATTTTTTTAAGTGGGGCGCCTGGGCGGCTCAGTTGGTTAAGCGTCTGCCTTCAGCTCAGGTCATGATCCCAGGGTCCTGGGGTCAAGCCCCGCATCTGGCTCCCTGCTCAGCGGGAGGCCTGCTTCTCCCTCTCCCACTCCCCCTGCTTGTGTTCCCTCTCTTGCTGTGTCTCTCTCTGTCAAATTAATGAATAAAATCTTTTAAAAAATAAAATAAATAAAAAGTTTTTGGAAAAAAAATCATTCACAATCTCACCTTGCTAACATAATCATCTCACCATTTCATTTCTATTTCTTTCAGCCTTTTCTATCATGCATATCTTTTTTTTTGCATGGTTCTAATTATAGTATAAATTCAACTTTGGGTCCTGCTGTTTTCACTTATCATAAACATTTTTCCATGATGTTGCTGTTTTCATAACCATTATTAATAAGTAGCTTAAATTCTTTTTTTTTTTAAGATTTTTATTTATTTGAGAGAGAGAGAATGAGAGATAGAGAGCACGAGAGGGAAGAGGGTCAGAGGGAGAAGCAGACTCCCTGCTGAGCAGGGAGCCCGATGTGGGACTCGATCCCGGGACTCCAGGATCATGACCCGAGCTGAAGGCAGTCGCTTAACCAACTGAGCCACCTAGGCGCCCAGTAGCTTAAATTCTAAAGGCAGCTGAATTTCTATTCCTGGTTGGTTTCTCCAGTATAAATAGGTATATGGTAAATACTCCATAAGAAAACCTCCTAACTTGGGGCACCTGGGTGGCTCAGTTGGTTGGGCGTCTGCGTTCGGCTCAGGCCCTGATCCCGGGGTCCTGGGATCGAGTCACACATCAGCAGGGAGCCTGCTTCTCCCTCTCTCTCCCTCTGCTTGTGCGCTCTCTGTCAAATAAATAAAATCTTAAAAACAAACAAACAAACAAACAAACAAAGTGTGGAACCAAAACAAAACAAAACAAAAAACTGTGGAACAAATTCCTTTAAAATTCTGCAACTTGAACGATTAATTTTTTTCAGTTGGTGTTTCCCATTATTGCAAAATGATGACTTCTTCCTTCCCACTGAAGTTCACAATCTAGGGAAGGAAAGGGCCTCAGTCAATAGTCATACCTTCTGCTCTTGGCAAAGACCACGGAGAAATGATCTTGTAGGAGATGAGAAGCCATCTTTGCTTCTTCAAAGTGAAGGGGAATAAAATAGGCCACTCAAAAATGTGCCACTTTGGCATATTGGTTATTTTGAATTAAAGGTACTCGAGGGGCACCTGGCTGGCTCAGTCAGAAAAGCATGCAACTCTTGATCTTGGAGTTGTGAGTTCAAGCCCCATGTTGAGTATAGAGATTACTTAAAAATAAAATCTTAAAAAAAAAAAAGGTATTTGAGAAACAGCCAGTACAAGAAGGACCCTCTGACCCTCCTTTGTCCTGTCATAAATCTCCCATGTAAAAGGTACCCTTCCTATACCAGGAGGAAGAAAAACATCCTCATCATAAGAGATAGGAATTTAGGGCTGAGAAGGCTATATAAACAAATTTTGTTACTTCTTCACTAACTACCCCCAAGCCCAAAACCTCTTTGTCTTGTCAGTTCTTCACAAATTTATTGTTTCTTTGTCTAAAAGGTATAAAAGCTGCTTGCTTTGGTCATTATTTGAGTTTCATATCTTTATGGGCTCCTGTACATATGAAATTCAATTTGCTTTTCTCCTATTAAACTGTCTTATGCCAATTTAATGATTAGACCAGCCAGAGAACCTAGAAGAGAATAAGGAAAAAAATTTCCTTCCCCTACAGAAGACTTGGGAGAAGGAAACTTTTGGGTTTGTTCAAAGGGAAACAAAATAATCTTTATCTGACTCAGATCATTCATGCTGTAACAGTATGAGCTTGTTGGATTTTGTTATTATCTTGTTTCATTTGGGTCTTTTTTTTTTTTAAGCCTAAAAACATCATTCTCAAAGAATTAAGCTATACTTGCAAACTTTCCTCCCTTAAATTAATTGTTGTAATTTTACTATTTGCATTATTTCTCACTTTCTAGGCATTTTGATGATTTCCCCACCATAATTTTATCATGAATTGCATAGTAACCTAAACTTGTGTACATAGAATATGATCAATTTATTGTGAACTTTCTAATTGCTGCCTGTTTATGCTTTTCTTTCCTTTTATCCTTTCCTTCCTTTTTTTGAAGATCAGAACTGCTTTAATTGAATTCTTTTTTTTTTAAGATTCTATTTATTTATTTGACAGAGATAGAGAGAACAAGTAGGTAGAGAGGCAGGCAGAGGGAGAGGGAGAAGCAGGCCCCCCGCGGAGCAGGGAGCCCGACGTGGGGCTCTATCCCAGAACCCTGGGATCACGACCCGAGCCGAAGGCAGTGGCTTAACTGACTGAGCCACCCAGGCGCCCCTAATTGCATTCTTTTTTAAAAGCAGCTTAATTGAAGTATAATTTACATACCATAAAATCCACCTAGCTTGATTATACAATTAAATGATTTTTAGTAAATATACAAAATTGTGAACGCATCACCACATTTCAGTGTTAAAGATCCCTTGTGCCCATTTGAAATCCAACCCTTAGGCAGCCACTAATCTATTCTCTGTCTATAGATTTGCCTTCTCTGGACATTTTATGTAAATGGGATTATACTTTTTTACATCTGGTTTCCATCATTTTAGCATAATGTTTTTGAGGTTTATTCATGTTGTAGCATTAATCATTATTCCTTTTTATTGCTAAAAAGTGTTCCATTGTTGGGATATGCCACATTTGTTTATCTGTTTACCAGTTGAATGGCATTTGGGTTGTTTCTGCATTTTACCTATTATGAATAACGTTGCTATGAATATTCAGGAACAAGTCTTTGTGTGGACATGTTTTCATTTCTCTTAGATTCCCAAGAGTAAAATTTATGGTAAATTTATGTTTAACATTTTAGAAATTGCCAAGCTATTTCCCAAGTAGTATCATTTACATTTCTACCAGCAGCACATGTAGATTTCAGTTTCTTCACATCTTTACCAACCCTTGGTAGTCTCATTTTTATTATAGCTATTCTGGTAGGAATGAGATAGTATCTCATTGTGATTTTTATTTGCATTTCCCTAATGATTATTGATGTTAAGCATCCTCTCATGAGCGTATTAGCTGTTTAGATTTCTTCTTTGGTGAAATGTCTGTTCAAACATTTTGCCCATTTCTTAATTGGGTTATTGTCTTGTTTTTGAATTATAAGCATTTTTTTTAGTATTTATTTATTTATTTTAGAGAGAATGAGCGAGCATGTGCAAACAGGCGGAGGGGTAGAGGGAGAGGATCTTCAAGCAGACTCCCCACTGAGCACAGAGCCTGATGTGGGGCTCAATCCCACAACCCCAAGATCATGACCTGAGCCAAAATGAAGAGTCAGACACTCAAACGACTGAGCCACCCAGATGGCCCAAGTTATAAACATTCTTGATATATTCTGGATACAAGTTCTTTATCAAATATATCATGTGCAAATATTTACTCCCAGTCTATGACTTGATTTCATGTTCATAATGGTGGGTTGTTTTTTTTTTTTTAATTTTACTTATTTCAGGAGCAAGCATGAATGGGGGAATGGGGAGAAGGAGAAGCAGACTCCCTACTGAGCAGAAAACCCGATGCAGGGCTCGGTCCCACGAGCCTGGGATCATGACCTGAGCCGAAGGCAGATGCATAACTGATTGAGCCACCCAGGTGCCCCCATAATGTTGTCTTTTGAAGCACAAAAGTCTTTAATTTTGATAAGTCCAATTTACCAACTTTTTTTTATAGATCATGCTTTTGGTGTTATATTTAAGGAATCATTACCTAATCCAAAATCACAAAGATTGTTTCCAGTGTTCTTTTCTACAAGTTTTATAGTTTTTGCTCTTAAGTGTAGGTCTATGATTAATTTTCAGTTAATTTTTATGTATGGTGTTTTTATCAGGGTTTCTCATCCTCAGCACTGTTGACACATTGGTCTGGATCATTTGTTGTGGGTGTCTGCCCTGTGCCTTGTTGGATATTTAGCTGCATCTCTGGCTTCTACCCAGTAAAAGTCAAAAACCCCTCGTCCCCTGTTGTGATGACCAAAATTGTCTCCAGGCATTGCCAAATGTACTCTCCCTTTGGGAAGCCCGAATTAAAAACCACTGAATTAAATTAAATTTTTTTGTATGTGGATATCCATTTGTTCTAGAGAAACCTATTGTTGAAAAGACTATTCTTTCCCCCATTGAATTGCCTTAGCAACTTTGTAGAAAATCAATTGACCATAAATATAAGGGTTTGTTTCTGGACTCTCAGTTCTGTTCCATTGATCTCTGTCTTTCCTTAAGGCAGTATCACACTGTCTTGATTAGTATAGCTTTATATTAAGTTTTTAAATTGGGAAGTGTTGGGGTGCCTGGGTGGCTCAGTCGGTTAAGTATCTGCCTTCAGCTCAGGTTATGATCTCTGTGTCCTGGGATCGAGCCCTGCATCAGGCTCCCTGCTCAGTGGGGAGCCTGCTTCTCCCTCTCGCT